GATCCAAGATAGCAGAGTAGATAAACACTGTGCCTGCTTCCTTCCATGAACACGTTAAAATTACACCTAAATTGTAGAACAATCAATCTGGAGAACCATCTGAAGTCTAGCCAAACAGAAGTCCTATAACTAAAAATATAAAGAAGAAGCCACATTGAGACTGGTAGGAGGGGTGAAGATGTAAAACGGGCATGCCCCAAACCTCTGTGTGGCAGTTGATAACCGGGAGGGATATTTCAGCTGTGGAGGCTCCCCTTGGAGGTGAGAGGCCCTAGCCCCACACTGGCCTCCCCAGCCCAGAGTACTGGTGCTGGGAAGAGGAGTCCCTACAACATACGGCTGTGAAAAACAGTGGGGATTCCAACCATCTGGGTGGGATGGAAAGCTGCAGGAAACCCAGACAGCCTCATAAATGGCCCAAGCATAGACTCTCTCTTGCAGGCACTCACCTTCAGCTCTGGTGGAGGGGTAGTAACTTGAGGAGCATCAGAGCGAGGGCTGGAGGACAGTTGCCATTTCCCTGTGAGGAGGTTCTCCACCTGTACTGCCAGCAGGCGGGCGCCATCTTTCCTGTGTTGAGCCCGCCTCCACTCGGCCACATCTTAATCTGATTGGCCTGATGAGTTCCACAGCTCCTTGCTGCTGACTCATGGAGACCCTGCCCCACCCAACTCGCACAACACCAGAGGCACTTTCTCCATGAGCCCCACCTGTATTACATTCTTTCTTGAGAAACTATCAGCGTGTCCTTAGAACCCAGATGGGCGGCAGCTGGCCTCGGTGTGCTCTGAGACTTCTGCTGAGTAGCTCCAGGCTCAGCATTGGCACCAAACCAGAGTCTACATTAACCTGTTGACCACAACTCTTCCTACTCTAATGACTCCCTGAAACTCTACCTCATCCAACTCATGTATGCACGAGCCTTTATCAGTGGCTGAAACTTAAGGTAATCAGCAGGTGGCAGCAGCCTCAGGGTGTCCTGGCTTTTTGTGGAGCTACCCCAGGTCTAGACTAATGGCCGCCATCCTCAGTTTCAGTGGGGTCTCTCCCACACATTTCCAGGTTTAGCACAGGCGGCGAACAACCATGAATAGCATTGTAGCTCCTAACAGGTAGTCCCTGGCTAGTCACAGGCAGGTCCAACATACTTGGAGGTTAGCTGAGACCTCAACAGAGCACTACCCAATTAGCCCCACAAGTAACACATCCAAAAGGCAGTCTCAACAGGCACCAGAGCCCACTGGGGCAAATCCCACTCAGTGGGCTCAGCCCCCCGTACAGCAGCCTGTAGTTGTGGATGTGGCCACAACTACATGAAGAAACCCCACAGCCTATCAGACTGAGGGTCATTCCCACCCACTGATATGCCAATATTAATGAAGGCTCAACTATAACAGGAGGGCACACACAACCCACACAGGGACACTCCTGGAGCACCCAGCTCATGTGGCCAGGGAGACTGTGCCACTGGGCCCCACAGGACACCTATTACATAAGGCCCCCCAGTCAAGACTGGGAGACATAGCAGATCTACCTAATACACAGAAACTAACAGAAAGGCAGCCAAAATGAGGAAATAAAGAAATATGTTCCAAATGAAAGAACAGGAGAAAACTCCGGAAACGGAACAAAATGGAAGCAAGCAACCTACTAGAGACAGAGTTCAAAACAATGGTAATAAGCATGCTCAAGGAACTTGGTGAGACCTTCAACAAAGAGATAGCAAACATAAAAAAGGACATAGAAACCATAAAAAAAAACCCATTCAAAAGTGAAGAATTCAATAACTAAATGAAGAATGCTTTAGAAGGAATCACCAGCAGACTATAGATGAAGCAGAGGATTGAATCAACAATTTGGAAGACAAAGTAGCAGAAAACACCCAAGCAGAACAGCAAAAAGAAAAAAGAATCCAAAAAAAAATGAGGATAGTTTAAGAGACCTCTGGGACAACATTAAGTGTAACAACGTTTGTATTATACGGGTACCAGAGGAGAAGCGAGAGAGAGAGAGCAAGGAATTGAGAATCTATTTGAAGAAATAATGACTGAAAACTTTCCTAACCTGGCGAAGGAAATAAACATACAAGTCTAGGAAATGCAGAGAGTCCCAAACAGGATGAACTGAAACAGGCTCACACCAAGACACATTACAATTAGAATAGCAAAGGTTAAAGATAGAGAGAATCCTAAAAGCAGCCAGAGAAAAGCAACTAGTAACTTATAAGGGAGCTCCCATAAAACTGTCAGCTGATTTTTCAACAGAAACTTTACAGGCCGGAAGGGACTGGCACAAAATATTCAATGTGATGAAAAGCAAGGACCTACAACCAAGACTACTATACTCATCAAAGCTATCATTCAGAATTGAAGGACAGATAAAGAGCTTCCCTGACAAGAAAAAGCTAAAGAAATTCATCACCACCAAACTAGTATTACAAGGAATCTTAGAGGGACTTAAGATGGAAAGAAAAAAAAATCAAAATAATAATAAAATAGCAATAGTTACATATCTATCAACAATTACTTTCAATGTAAATGGATTAAACGCTCCACTGAAAAGACATAGGAGAGCTGGATGGATAAGAAAACAAAACCCTTACATATGCTGCCTACAAGAGAATCACTTCAGATTGAAAGACACACACAGATGGAAACTAAAGGGATGGAGAAAGATATTTCATGAAAATGGAAACAAACAAACAAAGCTCCGTAGCCATACTTATATCAGATAAAAAAGACTTTAAAACAAAGGCTATCACAAAAGACAAAGAAGGACCCAGTAATCCCACTTCTGGGTACTTATCCGAAGAAACCCGAACTCTACTTTGAGGGGACATGTGCATCCATATGTTCATTGCAGTACTGTTTATACAATGGCCAAGATGTGGAGGCGGCCTGGGTGTCCACCAATGAAGAATGGATAGAGTAGGTGGTGCATATATACTGTAATGGAATATTGCTCTTCCACGGAAGGGAACGGGTTCTTGCCATCTGTGGCGGCATGGATGGACCTGGAGGGAATTGTGCTGAGTATGTCAGACAGAGAAAAGCATATGCAATGTGACTTTGCTTACATGTGGAACCCAAAGAACAAAATAAACCAACAAAACAGAAACAAACTCATAAATACAGAGAACATATTGATGGTTGCCAGATGGGAGGGAGTTTGGGGGTGAGTGAAAAACGGGAAGGGATTAAGTACAAACTGGTAGTTACAAAACAGTCACAGGGATGTAAAGTAAAGCACAGGAAATATAGTCAATAATATGGTAATAACAATGTATAGTGCCAGGTGGGTACTGGATTAGTCAGGGGGGTCATTTCTTAAATTATATAAATGTCTAACCACTATGCTGTACACCTGGAATTAATATAAAATAATACTGAATGTCAACCGTAATTGAAAAATTAAAAAAAAATGGGGGCGGGGCTGGAATGTGAAGGGGAATAAGAGGTTCACATATCCAGGTATAAAACAAATGAGCCACGGGGATATAAGGTACAGCATAGGGAATAGAGTCAAGAATATTGTGATAGCGTGGTACAGTGTCGGATGGTTGCTGGACCTATAGTGATCACTTCTTCAGGTATATAAATGTTGAATAACTAGGGTGTACACCTGAAAATAATATAGTAGTGTATGTTAGCTATATTTTAATCGAAATCTTAAAATAAATAGTGAGAGAAGAGCATGTCCACTTCCCACTGCTGGTTTGGGATTAAACGAGATACTGATCCTCACATGTCTTGAACAGGGCTGACGCTCACTAAACGTGAGCCAGTTTCTTTCCTCTTTCTATCCCCATTTTCCTTCTCTGAAAAATAAGAAGGATAACCCTAACGGGCCATTTGTGTGGGCGGGTGCAGACAGAACACGATGTCCTGTGATCACTTGCGGACTGGAGTGGCAAGGACTTTGATGTATACATACTTTCTTTCAAAGATGACAAATTATTAGCAAAGCGAAGCAAGCCAACACAAACAAGACACCAGCACTCCCAACAAATAAACCCAGCAAGTGCTGCGGGGGGCTGGCGCCCTGCCTCCCCGGCTGTAAACACAGCCGGAGGGTCACTGGGGTGAAGCAGAGCCCCGAGTGACTACAAGCAGGCTCGGGATGGTTGGCTTTCCCCTTGCAGCTCTTTCTACCCAGAAACAAGGGGCGCCGGAGGCTGTCATCCCCCCAGCCTACCCCAAATGGAGAGTCTTTGACCTGTTTGCCATGGAAACTCTGCTGAGGGTGATTCAGGTCTATAAGCAGACAGAGCTGGAGGGCCACAGGACGGGTCCCTTGCAGAAACATGGAACTTCTTTAGGGAGATTTGTTCCAGATAAAGAAGGACCACGGCCTGCGGGATTCTAAGGCAGTGATGGCCAGGGCCAGCCAGGCTGTGGTTTCAGGTGCCCGTGGAAAGCCCCCGTGCCTGCCTTCTGAAGCTGGAAACAAAGCCTGCCTTTCCACACGGCCACAGAAGCACAGCCTGCGACCCCCTCCTTGGAGAGACACCTGGTCAGTTTTTGCTGTGTAGAAATGAGCACCTTGTCTGATGATTTGCACTAAGGGGCGCATGGCCGAGCTACGATTTTGGCTGAGCGGGAGACCCAGCCGCGCTCTCCACTGCATACTTAAAAGGGGGTGATGGAGTCGGTATGGACTGAGGCGAAGGCACAGAGTGAGACACGGGGATGTCCAGCCAGCCAGCCTGCTTCGGGCAGCTGTATATTGTCCCCCAGACAACACCCTGGTCTGTGTCAGGGGACTTTCCATCGCAAGGTGCCACAAGCAGTTTCTGGAAGAGATTTTGTGTGCACTTGTCCTTCACAGCCCCTGACTAACCAGTTGCTCGGTGGCCCCCACCCTCCTGCCCTCATCCAAGCCTTTTGGTTGTGGGTGTCCGGAGGCCTTCTAGGCGCTTGGTTTGTTAGTGGGTTAGTGAACATGGAAGTGGAAGGGAAGACTTTTCAGGGAGCTGCGGCCCCACTGCAGGCTGCTCCTACCATGTCACTCTGAGACTGTGTGGCCCCGTACGCGGCCATCCCGTTGGAGGGTGCAGCTGGCTGTGGTGTGTCAGGCTGGACGTACCCTCTTCTGTCAATTAGGCTACAAGAGAAAACAAAAGAGTGCAGGAGGAAGAGAGTGAATAAAAAGCCAAAGGTGCCATAAAAACTTTTAATTTTCTATTTTGGGGGTCCCTCTTTCTGCGATGGGCCCCACCTCAGGCACCTTGGAACACACCTCTACTCACCTTTGGTAGTCAGGTCCCAAATTCTGTCACTTCTGCCTTTTAAAATGCTTGTAGCATGTTCCCTCCCTGCCACCTGCTGCAGACCCCACCTTGTCTGCTGGCCTCAGCTCCACCAGCCTCTGCCCGCCCGTTCATGGCCCCCATTGCCATCAGCATTCTTTCTATTGCCTAGTCCTAGTCCTGTCACATCACCCCTCCTGTGGCACAGCTTCCAGGGCGCTCCGTCACCTGCGAACAAGTCCAGACCCCTACTCGTGGATTTCGGGCCTGACACACCTGTCCCCAACTTTCCTGTCTAGCCTTAAATCCACGTCTTCTTGTTACACACACGGCGCTCACAGGTTCATTCCTGCCACAGTGGAGTCCGAGTGCCTGCCACGCGCCAGCGCATGGCATGGGGACAGAAGCCACGGACTCCGTAAGCACTCTGCTTTGCCAGCTTATGTGTTTGTTCAAGCTCTGGGTTTTCTTTCCCAAAGTCACTTCCCTTCCACTCCACTGTCCTTTCTTCATGGCCCAGGTCCCAAAGCCCCGCAGCTGCTACTCTGGTCCTTGTACCAGCTTCGTCCCTTCTCTGGCTTCTCTTAGCGCTACGTGGGATCCTCCTAGCGACACACCTCACTGTTTGCCTGGTGTCTCGGTGACTTTATACAGTCTCGTCTAGCAACCTGCAAGCTCCCGAGGGCAGTTTTTATCTTTGCTCCTCCACGGTCTCTGCCCCAGGGATTCGGGGCCCTTGGAGGCCCCTGGGCGCCTGTATCAGGCATTACCTGCTCCCACATTTGTGTCTGTCATGGAATGTGACCTCCATGAGGGCAAGAATCGGGTCTTCTTAACCACTGTATCTCCACAGCTGACAGCCAGTAGGTGCTGAGCAAATGCTTGTGGACTGAATGAATAAAAATGGGTCCTTTGTCTCCCATAGACAAGCTTTCTGAACATGTTTCTGAAGATTGCTTTTCTGTGCTCTAGGGCACTGCTGCTGATTAGAAAGTAGGGGTGTAGCTTTACCATTAAGAAAGCTGGTTTGAGTGAAGTCTCAGTGTTTAACTTGAGTCTAAGGGCAGAACTGCAAAGGGCAGCAGGAGGTTGACCTAGTAGGTGGGTGTGTCCTCTGTGCCCCCCCCCAACCCCTGGTCCCCCCACTGTGTGGGTCTCCTGGGACCAGGAGGAGGGCCGGGCTGCAGAGGCTGCTCCTATGTGTCAGCTTGGCTTTGAGAAGAGAGGATCATTGCGACTACCAGCTTCAGGTCTTCAAGTGACGGAAGAACAAGCATTAAAAAATACCTGTTACAGGATCTTGAAATGGAATGCTTTCTGCTTCAGTTTCAGTTGAATCCTCAGAGGTTTAGAAAAAAAACAACAGGCACCAAGAACCTCTATCTGCCCAAGGGAGGCCCTGGGCCATCCATGCAGGACCATCAAAGGGGTTCTCAGACCACGTGTGCAACCCCCTTCAAGGGTATAAAAGACTGAAGGTGAACAGACCAAAGAAGGATGACTGGAACGAAGGGGTCGTCTGCACCCTGCTGAGGACGAGAGCTAGGGAGGCTGGGGCTGGGGGCTGCTGAGCTGAGGGTGAGAGGCCAGACGTGGGTCCCTGGGAGAGAGCCAGTGTGGAGCTGGCTCAAAGGGGCATCGCAGGGGTTGGATTGCATCCCCCCCAAAAGATATGTATTGTAGAAATCCCAACCCTGGGAGGCATGAAGGGATGGAAGGTGTTAACCTTCAATGAACTTGGAAGTTCTGATTCACTGAAACGACACTATTTTGGAGGAAATGGAAGTGGCCTGAGTCCTTTTTCCTCCTTAAGTGACAGAAGACTTGAAGGGGCTCTCAGGAGATTTTACCCAGGAGCAGAAAAAGAACTAGGCGACCAAGAGAGTCGGAAGGGATAGCAGGGAGGAAAGAATCAAGTTGTCTGCCTGCGTCCTGTGTAGTCAGCCTGTTTAACGTACCAGCCACCACCTAAGACTGTGACATTCTGCCACGCGTCTCCCTCCATCTTCACAATGGCCCATGACGGTGTTCTCCTGAGCTCATCTCTGGCCTTGGGCCTCCGTGCCCCCTCCCTCCTGAACTCCTTCAGTTTCTTCTCTGACAAGCCAGGCTCTCCCCTTGCCGCTGAGCCTTTGCACATGCTCTTCCCTCTGTCTGTCTTCCTAATGCCTTTCTCCCAATCCCTACTCATCCTTTAGAACAGCCCCCTCCTCTGGGAAGCCTGACTAGGTGTTCCCTGGCACCTGCACCTTGCCGTCCATCACTGTGAGGAATTGCTCTCCACAGGTCTGTATTGCCCACAAAGCTGCACCCAGCACAGTCTGTTCCACTGGTGCCCGCTCAGTATTACGGCCAGCTGAATTCTGAGGACTGGCTGGCCCACAGCTCTGCCCTGCAGAGCCTGACGCTGACCACGCCTTGGGACTTTCTGTCTTTCCAATTTTCCATTCCTCCTGCCAGGTTTGTATGAGGATCCCCGTCCTTCCCCCAAACCTTGCCATTTCCACCCTGCTGTCCCCACACCTCTGGGGACACTGCCCAGGGGAACTGAGTGTGAGTCTGTAGACCTCACTGGGAAACAGGAAGACACAGATGCTCTCTCTCTCTCTCTCTCTCTCTCTCTCTCTCATGAGCACACTGTAAATGTTTTAGAGGCAACTTAAGTGCACAATTCTGGGCATTTAGGTGATTCTCAGCCCCTGTCTGAGGCAGGGGACACTGTTAAGTGGGCGGGGCTGGCTGGGATGCTCGTGGAAGGCCCTGGCCCTCTTAAGGGCAGAGGGGCTGAAAGAGGCAGGACAGAGAGAGGAGAAAGAACGCGACAAGAGGGGGGACCAACACAAACACCACCTCCTCATTTTTGATCGAAGTGTTGGAAACATCCTCCATGGGTGTAACTCACAATAATCAAGAGCTGACTCTGTTGGGGACTTGTGTGATTCTGACGTGGAGACAGCAGTCCCAGTGGATACATGCATGAGTTCTGATGTCAGATGCCTGGGTGTGAGCCCTGACTTGGCAGCGTTTACTTGCTGTGTGATCGTGGACATATTATTAATATTTAACCTCTCCGTGCCTCAGTTTCCTCGGCCATAAAATGAGATACAATAGTACAGAGTGAGGTTCTAAAAGTTAACACATCTAAAGCACTTAGAACAGAGCCTAATGCTGTTCAATAAATGTCAGCTACTGCCACTGTTAATATTACTGTTGTCTTATCATCACCACAACCTCAACTGCTTCATGCCACACGGATGTCTCCCACCGAACTATTTCAGCATTTACATTCTACACAAGTCTGCTCTTAGCCCTTATTTCTACAGGTTTTCTAATCGCTTCCTGCATCTCCCTCACTATGCTAACCACAGCTCCCTGCTTGCCACTGATTTCCCCTGAATGTGACACAAAAACAATGGAAGAACCAAAACGGTGCCAAGCATGATGCAACAAACAGCCAGATCTCTATGATCTCTACTTCACTAAGGCCATGTCCCCGTGGCACCAAGTGGAGTCCGGACCTGGTGGTCATCTGGGCGGTGTGACCAAATCCACCAGCTGTGGCCAGGTCTCACCTGGTCAGGCCTGTGCTCACTCAGCTAAGGTGTCTGCTTTCCTGAGATCTGGTAAAGAGCATGATGCTTTCTAAGTCTTACCTTGGAGAGATGGGCCCACACAGGGCAACACAGCAATTTGTAAAGATATTTCCGTAGCTGTAGGGGTTGTAATTTTCTTTACCTCTTTTATTTGACCAAGATCCTTTAATCTGAAAGAAAAGGACAGTCAGTAACACAGTATCCTTCATATCAATGCCACAGTTCAGGCAAATTGGACCCTGAGAAGTCCACAATGAATGCAAATCATCTTTACTCATTTCTTCAGCAGGAGAGAAATGGAGACACTTTTGTCAAGGAAAACTGGTATTTACCCCAAACTTGGAAATAACCCAGTCAGGCTGGGGAGAGAGACAATAATCTCTTATTTCTGCTACATGGCACTGAAAGGTCAGCTCACATTAGCCAGTGGAGATTGTTGTCACTCACATTTAGTGTGCTAAACAGTAATTAAATGAGTGGCTGCCCCAAGAGTTAACATGGCTCCCCTAATTGCCAATTTATAGCCCATCTGAATTCAGCCTCATAGTGCTGCCAAAATAATTTTGCAGATTCTAATGTTCATCATTACCAAATACAAAAAAAAGTGTATTAATATACTCTGAACTCACATATCTCATCGGCACTGATTTGCTCAAGCCTTGAAGGCAAGCTGAGTGATTCTGAGACATTTAGTTCCTACACTGATAGAGACTCGGTCAGAATCTAAATATTTAGAGCAAAGAGGACCAGCCTCATGAAGAAACATTTTTCAGCACTGTGTTTGTTTTGATATCTCCTCTCTATCTGCAGTAAACACAGGCATGTAATCCTGGATAAAAAGTGGAATTCTGGGTCTAGGTGATCATCTCCAAAAATGCAACGGAGATGTTAACTATGAAAGGCAGGCTTATGTGTTCACTCTGAGATGCCAGCCTGCCCTGGCCTCTCTTCAGGAGAGGGGTGACAAGTTGTTCACAAAACCACTGTAAAGAAAGAGGCCTCCTCCTCAGGGCTCGAAATTGGGTGTCACTTGGCCGACCTTAGTATCCAACTGACGTGGTCAGAAAGCAAGGCAATCTAGGGTTTTCCAACAGAGACACTGGACAGACAGATGAAATGTCTGCACATTCTTTGCCCTTTCTCCCTCGGCTGCTCAACATAAGACAACACACCCAGGCCCCATACCACCGGGAACTTACATCTTCATTCGTTGTCTGGTTGGAGCTGATCAGGTACGTGTGGAAACCCGAGAGCCCAACAATAGACCAGACGGAGAAGAAGCACACCACAGCTTCCAGCACGGTGACCTGGAGTCAAGGAAGTGAACCGGGAGGACAGGAAAAGCTCTTGGGGTCCCCAGGGAGCCGGCGCGACGCGCGATTTGGACAAGAAAAGCACCGGCAGTCCCTGAGGCCTGTCTGTCGGTCCAGCCCCGCACTGGTGTCCTCCCGGACCAGAGGGAGGTCTTCGGGGCGGGCCCTATGCCATTCCTGCCACCTGCCTAGCATTTGCACTCAGTAAACGACTGGTGGCTCGCTCAACATGACCTGGTTACATCTTCATGGGTGACAGTTCCTCTGACTGTCCTCCCCACCTGACCGTCGCCTTTTCTTGTGACTCAGTGTGTAGCCACCGAGGGTGGAGCCAAACCAGGAAGCTCACTGGCTGGAGTTGGCAAAGGCCTAGGCTCCTGACGAAAGGACTCAACACTGAATAGCACCTCAATCAGACTACAGCTTTGGCTTCTGAATGCTGAGGGCCATAGTACCAACAGGTTTCTGTCCCAACCCTATCTGAGGCTGTAAATTGTCACACCAGCAACAGGTGACAGTCGTGTGCAGGGCTGACCGCAGATGGCTGTAGCCCAGGCAGGGCTTATCTTCCTGGCTTCCTCTCTCTTGGCAGCCCTTCCACACTTTGGGGGCTGCCTGCTCCCACCTGTGGGTGGGTTTCTGACCCAAGGGGGGCATTTCTCAGAGTGGCATCGGGGTGAGGGGTATTATCACTTAGGGGACCTTCTCCCTGACCCTCAGCTAACCCTGACGTATAAGGCTGTCCTCGGCTGTTTGGTAGGTAACGGGGAAACCTCACTGCTCAGCAGACACTGAGGGATGGGAAGTTAGTTCCACAAGGGATGTTATAACCAAAGGAGAAAAGGCTTGGCAGTCTTCAACGGAAGAGAGAAATCAACCAGAGTGTGGCAATTTGAAAAGACTAGAGAATTCCTCTGTCCCATAAAGGTTTACACAATTCTATTCACAAGCTACAGATGTTTCTCAGGAAAAAAAAACAACAAAGTCATCATAGGTCTGGGAGTTTAAATATACACCATGTATCCCCCAACCATAAATTACAAGGAGAGAAAGTAAAGACTCATGCTTTCCTGAGATGCTTCCAAGGATGGAAGCCATAGACCGTGCTGTAATATATCACCATTGATTTTTTTTCAGGATTGTATACAATTCATCTTTAGACCAGCTAAATAAATACATTATCCAGGGCAGTGCCATCATTTGCCACACCATAATTAATGGATGCCACTGTCGGTGCGCGTGGGGCTGCATACAACACGAGACATGAATGGGCTCTGAGCGACTTTCAACAACAGGATAAACCACTGGGTCTGCTCTCGGAGAGGTAGAAAGTGCTTTCCTTTTCTAAGGTCTAAACTTCCAGAAACTGCAGGCTCGATGGAAAGCACCACCCTGGAGTTAAAAGGACATCTCAGGAGGAGAAGAATGTTCCTCTGCCAGGGAGCCGGGAGAGGGAAATGGCCCAGAGCGGCCGGGGTCTTCCGAGGTGGCCCTGCCCACCCCCCTGGAGGAAGGAAGTCACCCGGAGGGATGAGCCGTCACAGCTCTGAGAAGAGGAAGATGAAGTCAGCATTTGGAAAAGCAGATAAACATGGATGAGTACAGAGGAACGATGGGGAACAGAGAGACGCAGATTAGCAGACACTTCCCCAGGGCTGCCACCAGTCTGGGCAAGCCCTTCATTTCTCCCAGGGTTACCCAGGCGGGCAATGTTATGGTGGGAGGCTTGGTGTGCACCTGGGGATGCATGGACAGTGGCCGTGTAGAAGGTCTCCTGCTCAACTGAAGTGGAGACAATGGTGGGGTAAGCAGGGGGAGGCTGAGTCAGGAACACTGGGTGCATAAATGCAGACGACACTGGCAATGAACTTGCAGAGACTGGAGGAAAAGTTAAGAGACAGATAGATCAAAGAGGAGGCAATGCATGAAACGAAGTAGAAAAGAGAGAATGAAAAACGGAAGGAAAGATTTTTTTTACCAAATAACACAAAAGCCGAACTTTGATCTCAGAAATACTACGCATCGCCAAAAGTTTACAATCCAGGTAGAAAGACAGTGATGTCAAAATGTACAGAACAGTCATATGTGTGAACCATGTAAAACCAGGCATTAAAAGTGGAGGTGAGTGACAGCATTTTAAGTGGCTCCTCCCCGTTTTCTGGCTGCTGCTTCTTCCGCAATGCCCCTAGCAATGATCACCCCCACAAGGAGGCATGGTCACCAGTGGATGTGGAAGTTTAAAGATTTAGAGCAGCAACAAAAAAAAAATTCAGCTTCTATATTAATATCTCAAATGCTTTAGAAGCATTTTATAAACAGCAGAATGCAGTTTCACTGTTAGCTCACAGCTGGATCAAAATGACATGAATTCAAGGTAGGATGCAAACTGCGGCTCCCTCTTGCTTCTCCCCCACACAGCTGATGCTTCTCCCAGTGCGTCTTAAGGAATACTCATCATCATTCACAACTACGGCTGGCATCACGGGCTACGTGTCAGGTACTGCTCCAAAGGCTTCAGGGGACTCACGCAATCCTCACACCAACACAGCGAGAAGCACAGTTCCCACTTCACCTATCGAGAAGCTGAGGCAGAAAGCAGGTAAGTAATTTAAGATACAGCAGAGGTAGGATTTGAACCCTGGAAGTCTAGCTCTACAGGTATGACAGAAAAGCCACAGGCTGGTTCCTTTCTTAATTCTTGCGGAGGGACAGGTGGCTGGAGGCTGACCCTCCCCTCTGTTGGGGGAGAACCTTGTCAGGTTCTGAAGGAGTGGCAGCTGAAGGAGTCCATTCCCCTCCAAGTTCACTGTCAGACTGCGGTGCAAAGCTCTGAACAACACATCTCCTCACTGACCCAACAGCTAGATGGTGAAAATGTCTATGCCATAATAAGATCAAGAAATATGTGTCTCTTAAATGTATAAAAACCCACTTATTGATTTTTGAAAATAGAGAAATAAGAGGAAACATGCCAACTCCACTAGGAGTCAATTTAATAAGCACTTGGATGTTTATTGCATCAGAGTTCCAAATTATAGCAGCTACCACTGCCAGCCTGTATGTCTCCCCCTAGTAAAACAGTGAGACCCTTTTGTTTCCCGGGCATGGCTTTAAATTCCTCACAGCCTCTAGCCCATGATGTCACAGCCAGAGACACTCGCTAGCTGATTATGGAATTGAAAAGGACTGAAAAATGCTGATGTGCAGACGCCCCTCCATTGGGCTTCCACAAAATTGCAGGAGGGTGTGCTCTGAGCCTTTCTAGCATAGAGGAGGACAAGCTCCCAGCCCTAAGGGAGCAGGGTTCTGATTGCCCATGGGAAGGTAAACAAGGGGAGGTGGCCTTGAAGGACGTGGAAACAGTGTTGTGTTGGGCAGAATGGTGAGGACACCTCACTATTTGGAGAGTCATAAAAAGGGAGTCATCATGGAACCAAAGCTTTTTTACCTTTTTGGGTTTTCCACTCTTTTCTCAGAAAAATGCATACAAACACATTTTTTCTTATAATTTCAGGAGGCTCATAAACTCCCCTGACACCGCTCCATGGGTACACATTGACCCCCAGGTTAAAATGCCATGATTTATTCCAATCTCTCTTTTTACAGATAGGAGGCTGAGGCTCAGAGTGGTCAAGCCACTTATAAGAACTCACACAGCAGTTCATGGCACAACAGAACTAGAACTTGGTCTCCAGATTGCTAGGAGAGAAAAAAGCCTCCCCAAGGCCCCAAACTATGGCAGTGTCACATGACAGGCAAGACTGAGATTGCCTGTGACATCAAATTTTGTTCCTCAGTCCCATGGCCTTAGAGCTTGCCTAATGTGTGAAGATCGTGTCTCTGTTAATATGTGACTGTGCCTATCTCTTCACATTCCAGCAATCAGCCTGGAGAACTGATTTTTTTACTGAGTGCCAAATCCAGATGACAATTTGTTTTACGAAGTCTGTGTGTTTCATGAGCGTTTCCTCACTGACCAACTCCCCTGGATTCCAGAATGGCCAGGGAACACTGAAGTCCAAGGTGTCGCCTTGGGCCCTTTCCTTTCTGGGCACTGGGCTTATGAAGCTCTGGGTGCCACATGGTGTTAAGGGACATTGCTCTGTGGGCACCAGACATGTGCCCCTGAGTCCTCATCCATTTTATTCTGTGTTAGGTCTCTGTCTTGGGCTCTAATATTTAAACATAAGAAATAGATGGTGATGGGGATCATTTCTTTCTTTCTTTCTTTTTTTCTCTAAAAATTACAGAATAGGCAACGCTTCCCTATGGGAATAGCTTTAACATCAGGGCAGAATTGGAGATAGTTCCCTTTGTTCTCTAGATTGAATGTCTACATCAGCATTTAATGCTTTTAAATATTTAGGTTCAGGAGCCTGTCAGCATATTTTCCTCACCAAAAGATGACCCCATAATCCTTAGACAGAGATAGGAAATACAGCTCGTGCCCTTGTCACCTGAGTGCCCATCACTGTGCCTGAGATGGGGGCTGCTGACTTCACGGAGACCTACATGGCAGACACTTTGAAAATGGAAAGTCACTGAGACCCTTCAGATGAGATCATTTCACCATCATCTTTCAGGCTCTCAAATCCGTTTCTCTTAGACACTTTTGTATCAGGCAATAAGGATGTGTCGTCCCAAATTAATCTATGAAGTCACTATAATTCTAATCAAAATTGCAACTGGAATTTAAAAAATGGAATGAGACAAACTGATTCTAAAATTCATCAGGAGGAGAAAGCGTGCAAGAAAAAGTAAGACATTTTGACAACGAACATCATGGGGATGGGGGCGAGGGAAGCCTTTTCTAGTAAACAAAACAAGGTGAGAACAGCACAAGAACAGACTCTGAAACAGACACGTGGACATATGGGATAAAGAAGGTGTTTCAATTTAGTGTTGGAGCAGTAGGTGGCTGGTTCTCCATGGGTGGTCCGTGACCCTTAGGGACCCTAAGATCGTTTCAGGGATCCTCCAGGTCAAAAC